ACCGAGCATTATCATCATGACAGTTTTGATTTCCAGACTGAATGTTTCTTCTTTTTTTCCCTTTCTTTTCCAACTACAGTGCTCAGGTGGTATAGCACTATAGCACTGTCAAAACATGGTTTAAAAAATCAAATGTGTTAGACAGGGCACATGGGTCCTGTTTTATGGTTTCATGGAGGGCATGGCAGGGAGGGAAGGAAACCCTGCCCACACCATAGTTAACTGGACCTCAAGCACAAAGATAAAGAAAGAAATCCCTATATGTTTAGGTCAGGGAGGGGGGTAACTGAAGGAGGCTGGAGGGATGCATTAGCCCCTAAGAGGCACCCACCACTACACACCTTACTGGCAAAAATTTGGAGGAATCCCCAAATGGCCCCTCTAGGGAGAAGAAGGCATTTTCACTCTTTTCGGCTTCACTAGAGGTTTTACCATACAAGGCTAGAAAAGCAGAATTTAACAGTGTCTTTGGCTGGTACGTATCACATAATGTTGTTTTTGTCCTGCTGCTGCCTTGCATTCTGTTTGTTATTGTTGTGCACCTTTCATTAACAGGCAAAACCCATCAATAGGCTCTCAGTTTTGTTGCTATTCCTTTTCATTGACGGGTAAAACCTGTCGATAGGCTCCCAGTCTTGTTGCTATCCTTTTTCATTGATGGGCAAAACCTGTCGATAGGCTCCCAGTCTTGTTGCTATTCTTTTTCATTGATGGGCAAAACCTGTCGATAGGCTCCCAGTCTTGTTGCTATTCTTTTTCATTGATGGGCAAAACCTGTCAACAGGCTCTCGGTCTTATTGCTGTTCCTTTTCATTGATGGGCAAAACCTGTCGCTAAGCTCTCAAACTTGCTACTATTTAATTTTGTGTAATAGGTCCCTTCCGCTGCAGTTCTGCTTCTCAAGCAGTCAAGTGGTGCGAGTGGCTATAATTCTGCTCTTCTCTCTGCTTCCCCCTCAGAGGGATTACAGATGCCAACACTTTCTGAAGCTGGCTACTGTGTGCACATTCACACAGCAGCTGGCTTTAGGAGGTGGTTGGCAGCCGTGATCACTCATTCCCACCCTTCATCCTGGAAAGTGGCATTTGGCAATGTGCTCATGGATCACCAAAGCACTATCATGGGGGAAAGTGTGATAAGAAATGATGCCAAACCAGTATGCTTCCATTCTTAAGATAGAGCAATTGTGGTGCACAGCAGGGACAAAGACAACAAAAATGGTCCATGAGCCATGTTCAACTTCCCCCTCATTTAGAGCATGTCTGGATGTGAAGGTGAGATCCAGCATCACAAGGCAGGAAATGCAGAAAAAGAAGAGGCTACCATTTTTTTATCCACTTTCTTTACTGTCCAGCTCTTGCATCTGTACATGGTGATGGAAAATACAGTGGCTTGTGCAATTCTAATTTTAGTGCTCAGTGTCTAGAGCAAGTTTTTCAAATAAATGCCAAACCTAACCAAAAAGAAAAATGGTTGAAAACTGTATTTTCCCCCCAAGCTCTGCTTTGAAAACATCTCTGTTTTTAACACCCTGCTTTGAAGAACACAGGGGAGTTTGTAGTCCAACCACTTTTTCATGTTTTGATTTGAATCAAATACAATAGATGCTATAAAGCATGCTGCAGCAGTGGAATGCCCAAAACACACAAAAATAATAGATAAATGAGATAGATAGATAGATAGATAGATAGATAGATAGATAGATAGATAGATAGATAGATAGATTTGTTGTTAATGTGTGCCTTCAAGACCTTTCTCCAACTTATAACAACCCTAAGGCACAGGGTTTTCTGGGGCTGAGAGCATGTGACTCATCCAAGGTCATCCAGTGGGTTTCCATTGCTGAGGAGGGAATCGAACTCCAGTCTCCAGACACCAAGTCATGTGTTCAAACCACTGCATCACACCGGCTTTCAGAAAGATAGATCAATTGATAGATAGCTGTCACACTGCATAATTACACCACTTGGCTTCATCCTATGGAATCCTGGGATTTGTAGTGTGTGTGACACCAGAGCTCTCAGACAGAGAAGACAAAATAGCTCACAGAATCCCAAGTTTCCCCAGCACCTTCATCGGGTGCATTCAGGATGTATGTGGACAACAGGGATTCAACCCAGATTCGTCCTGGGTTATTTTCACTATCTGAATAACCCCTAAGAGGCCAAGCCAGGCAGGGAACGTCTTCTTCCCCGCAATTGCGCTACGGCGCACGGCACATTCGTGATTGCCGCCTTTATGGCATTTCGTGACTAGGTTGCAGGGCTGGGGATGGTGGAAGAGAAGCCAACAATTAAAGGGATGTTGTGTCAAGGGGGAAAAATAGTGTTGGGGGGCAGGTGGAGAGAAAGAGAGAGAGAGAGAGAGAGAGGAACCCACTCCAAACTGATTAAAGTTGAAGGCTCTGTTGTCTTCGTCTTCCTTTTTTTCCCCCATCAGAAAATGAATCAGGAGAGAAAAAAAGGAGGGGATCTGCTTGGAAAATCGACACTACACAACCTCTCTTCCCCCCCACTCCATCACCCACCCCATTCCCAGAGCTCCAAAAAGCAGTGCCTGCATCCGTCTTGCTGTGTCCCTGCATTTTAATTACCATCCTATTAATATTCATGAGACTAGGCACTCAAGGGGGATTACAGTCTGTCATTCTCTCTCTCTCTCTCCATCCACGCACCCCCTCGTTCTGCTGAATCTGTTTTCCATTTTCCCTGCTTCTCCCAAACAAGCTCAGCTCTGCAGAGTCAGTCTAAAAAACCCACAAAACCTTCCTCGCTTTACTACCCCCCCCACCGCCGCCGCCGCCGCCGTCTCTTCGCCTTCTTGCCATAGACAGTTTGGGTTGAGAGGCCAAAGCGATCACCCTTGTTTGTGTAGGTGTGTATAGCTCCAGGTGGTCGGCCGTGATGGGTTTGGACCCTGTTTTTCTGGCCCGGGGCCTGTAGTCCTGCAAATTGCACAAAATTGCAAATATAAAATAAAATAAAATAAAATAAAATAAAACCTTTAGCAATAGGGGAAATCCACATTGGGTTGGATAAAAAAGAGTATTTTGTTATGATCGACAGTACGCGGCAGCACTGCATACCCTCCGGCATTTCACAGATGTCCAACCAACATCAGAGTGATGTCCAGACAGCAAATGTTATTAATGGGGCAGAACAGGCAAGCTAGGAAAGGCTGCAGCAGTTTGCTTTTACCTGAGTCCACTGGGAAGGGCAAGATTTTGTCCTCACCTCTCCTCCTCCCAATACTGAGTTAGCTGAGTGAAAGCTACCTTTCTCCTTGGAACTCAGTATCATCCAAAATCCACTATTTTGGCACGAAGAATGCTGGACTGATGAGACTCTTTGCAAAGTACAATAACATCCAAAATCCACAAATCAGTGATACCTTTATCGAGACAACCAAAATGCACATTATGCATGCTGCAAGCTTTCGAAGCTCCACTGGCTTCATCATCAGGCAAAGGTGTTAAAACCGATACAAGGAAAGAAAGAAAATGATGATGTCAGTCCTAGTTCTGCACATTGTCGAGAAGCTGCATTTGTTGTCCTCAGTTCAGATGGTATGGAAGGGTATTCATGCAGGTGGGTCCCTCCTCCTTCTGGCCAGGCGGCTACTGAGAGATTCAGTCCAAGAAATAAAATTTAAATTCCATTAGCGAGACAAAAAGTTACTGCCTTTGAGATGCAGTTTGTCTCGATTCCTTTGTGGGGCTAAAAACCCCTGTGTTAGGAAGAGATCACTGAATTCTCAGGAACCCTCCACACCTGTACATCGGGAAGATATTGAGGTGTTGTATATGATACTTTGATATATGGCCATCATGGGTACCCCTGGATATGGATCCTTGGAACTCAGTTTGCAGCAATGGAAGTAAGCTGGAGACAAAGGGGGAAGAGAAGAGAAACTGGGGCATTTTCAGCAGAGGCATCATTAGGGGTGCAGCGGGTATCAAATCAAATCAAATCAAATTTTATTGCTTTTGACCAAAGGTCGTTGCACAATACACACAACAATGCATATAACAACGCAGATAAAATATATCTATAATACAAAGTAAACCTTATATCTAATACATTAGGGGTGCAGTGGGTATGGACTACACCAGGTGACACCCTAAGGGGGTGGTGACACCACTACTCCCCAAATATCTGCATTTTGCCAGAAATGTGGAGTTCACCTGCATCCCTTTAAAACCCGGGAGCTCAGCAGAAGAAAAAGCATGAGTGTGATGAGGTTCAGTGGCCGGAAAAAAGGGGGGGGGGTATCAAATTTTATTTTTAAAATGTATTCTATTTAAAAAAATTCTTTAAAAACATCACACCTTACCAACTTTTCACCTTCATCACACAAAACTATGTACAGAAAGACAGGTAGGCTGTGCTTATGATATTGTAATTTACTGGTCTCATTTTTAATTTTGCTAGGTGCTTATGTTACCACTATTGCTATTCTATCCAGTGATAAATGGGAATTACAATTGATGAGCAACCTTAGTACAAAACACATGATTAAAGTTTCTATATGGTGTGGCATGGGAGGACGTCAATGGCACCATAAGTTACCCCACCGGCTGATACCAACCCTAGTGATGCCACTGATTTTCAGAGCATCTGAAAAATTAGGCCAGCAGAGAATTATTCAGGCTCAGACAAAATAACACTTCCATAGAGAAACATGTGCATGCATATGGCACTAACAGGATGGTGACCACAATCTTTTTTGTCCCTCATCTCTCTCAAACACACTAGGGTTCTAGATCTCAGGTCCTAGACTATCTCCTCCAGTTCTCAGGGTTAGAGAGAGAACTCTCAGAGAACACCGGCTTGAAAACTGTTGTTGTTGTTGTTGTGTGCCTTTGGGTAGTTTCCAAAGACCCTACAGCAAACAACCTGTCGGGGAGTTTTCGTCACAAGATTTATTTGGGGATGGTGCCTTTTTCCTCCCCTGAGGATGAGAAAGTGTGACTTGCCCAAGGTCACCCAGTGGGTTAAAATGGCCAAACAGGGATTTGATCCCTGATGTCTAGAGTCATAGGCCAATATTCCAACCACTATACCATGCTGGCTTTCATGATATGCCAAACCCTCCAGCATTTCACACATGGCCAGGCAACATCAGAGTGTCATTGAGGTGGCAAATGTTAATAATGAGGAAGATGAGGATGCAGCAGTTTGTTTTTGTTTGAGTTGACTGGGAAGAGCAAGATTCCACTCCTTCCTCCCTATCCAAGTAAATTGAGTGAAAAAATATTTTTGCATGTGTCCCTTTTTTTAAAATGTTGGAAGGTATGAACTTGTCCTCTGTTGAAAATGTGGGAGAAAAATTGAGGAGACTCAGGAGCCCATGTGAGGATTGCAGCAATCTGAAAATAGATGTGGGGAATCTAAGGTGTTTTTTTCTAGGGGGAGGAAGGAACGTCATATTTTCCATGATGACGGCATTCCATCATTGTAGTTGCATTGACAATGCAT